ACAATCTCTTCTCCTCCATTCTTCTCTTGGGATCTTAGGCACGCACGCACACACACCCAGCGTGAGTTTAAGCTACCAGATCTGGGACTTGAACCATGGTCGACTACATGGGAGTTCAGCGACATAGCCATTATGCCAATTGCTGGTCCTGTGTGTACCATGTTTTTAAACAGAGTACACAATGCCTGGTGAGGTAAGTCGCTTATCTGCACTTGGAGAGCCTTGACCACATGCTAATGAAATTCCAACCCTGCCTTCTGCACCCTGCTGTGCAGATCAGCTTGAACAATCTTTTCACCTTACAGAAATGTTCTCCGGGATCAAATCCTAGAACTATAAGACGACCAGGCGTGCTTAAAAGCCAAGCTAAAGAGCAGCTCGCCATTGCTCCAGCCATACCTTTTGCTGCTGGCCAGCCAGGACCAATGCCCCAAAGGGGACCACTAAGTTCCCAGGGGAGCTATGTGCAACTGTGATGCAAGGATTTTGGATGCCATCTCCTCCCAGATGCCTGCAGCGTACCCAGGCACACAGGTTTAGGCTTGCTACTCAGTGAGCACAAAATCAAACACTGCATTATTTTAGGATACAAGAAAAGTAAGAGACTGATTAACACCAAAGTTAGGATGTGCACACCCATTTCACAGCGGCACAGTAGCCCAGAAGTAGAAGCAACCCAGTGTCCACTGACAGATAAACAGATGAGCACAATGTGGACTACTCATACCATGAACAGCATTCAGCCTTGTACATACTGGACCCCCCACGTAGTCAACTATGTTTCAAGTCCCAGACTCGGTGGCTTAAAATGCACACTGGCACGTGTGCCCAAAATCCCGAGAGAACAGAATGGAGAAGGGATTACAGCGTGGCTGTTCCCACTGGAGGGTGAGTTGTTTTGTCTCTGTCTCTCTGTCTCTCCAGTGAACACACGCACCCTATAGCAGAAATCTCTCTTAAAATAGAGAAAGAAAACAGAAGGAAATTCTCCCCTGTGATACAACATGGGTGAACCTTGACAATGTGCTAAGTGAATAATCATCACAAATAAACAAATAGTAGGAGTTCATGAAGTCTTAGAGGAGTCAGAATCACAGAGGTGGAGACGGGAGGGGAGGGATGTTTAATGAGTAGTTTCAGTTCTATAAGGTGAAAGTTATTTGGGGAGATGGGTGGAAGCGACAGCTGCACGAGATTATACAAGTACGTACCACGACTGAATTGTACCCTTAAAATGGTTAAAGATGATAAATTTTATGTTATGTGTATTTTACTATGATTTTTTAAAGGTTTTTGCCATAGGATACATATATTTGCTGGCAAAAGACACAGAGACAGTGAGAAAGCAATAAAAAAGAGGGATGACCACACCGCAATCCCTTCTCCATACTCCTCCTGGAATTTTGGACATGCACATACATGCACCCAGTGTGATTTTTCAAGCTGCCAGATTCGGGAATCAAACCACATTTGGCCACGTGGGAGTCCAGCACTTTCACTCCCATGCCACCTGCTAGCCCCATTTTTAAAAAAAGTGAGACTGGTAGTCACCTCTTGATAAAAGTAAAGGAGGTGTAATCTACAAGCTTCAAAGGCACTGGTTTCTATTCCTTAATCTGGGTGATGGAAAATCAGTACTTGTTTTTTTGTTAATTGTTTATTTAATTTTATTTATTCTTTAATTTTTAAAAATTATTTAATTTTATTTATTTATTCATTTATTTTTTCATTCATTTATTTTAATTTGACCAGAGTGACAGAGACAGAGAGAAAGTGAGAAAGGATGCCACCAGGCCTGGGACTCAAACCATGGTTGCCCATGTGGGAGTGTCCAGCGCCTTAACCACCATGCCACCCACTGGTCCCTCATTCATTTTTTTTTTTGGAGAGGTTTTTGCTATAGGGCGCATGCGCTCGCCAGACAGACAGAGAGAGAGACATAGAGACAGAAAGTGAGAAATCACCCCCCAGGGGGGATGGTCACGCCGCAATCCCTTCTCCTCCATTCTCCTCTCGGGATCTTGGGCACGCACGCACACGCGCCCAGCGTGAGTTTTAAGTCACCGAGTCCAGGACGCGAACCGTGGTCGACTGCGTGGGAGTCCAGTGACACAGCCATTACACTAACTGCTGGTTCCTGTCATTCATTTATTTTTAATTTGACCAGAGAGAGAGACACGGAAAGAGAGAAAGGGAAAGTGAGAAAGCAAGCCACCAGGTCTGGAACTCAAACCGTGGTCAGCCATGGAGTGCCCAGCACCTTAATCACCACACCACCTGCTGGCCCTAATCATTACTTGCTTTATTATTATTTTTTAGACTGTTCCCAAATATTTTCTACACTTATTTGAGTGAGTGATATATTTCAAAACTGAAAACAAGAATCTATAAAATAAGACATGATTTATTTTTTTAAATTTATTTAATTTTATTTATTATTTGCTATTACTTTTAAATTTGCTATAGGGCATGTGCACTCACCAGAGAGAAAGAGAGACAGAGAGAGAGACAGAGAGAGAAAGTGAGAAAGCAAGACGCCATATCCAGGACTTGGGCCACCGTTAGTAATGTGAGTCCAGTGCCTCAACGCCACCTGCTGGCCCTAAGACACAATTTCTTAAATCTAAAATTTAAGAAATTAGAACTGTGTCTTTGTGGGGCTAGCAAGTGGCATGACTGTGGCTCAAGTGCTGGACCTGGCAGCTTGCTTTCTCACTTTCCTTCTCTGTCTCTCTCTGGTCAACTTCAAAAAAAAAATAATAATAATAAATAACATAAAATAAAATAATGAATAAAACTAAAATAATTCTTAAAAAAAAAAACCAAAAAACTGTGTCTTTGTGTAAGGGTATGTATTACGCTAGTGAGGTAAAACTATCACCGAAAGGGGAAAATTTGACACCAGCACCTCCAGCGGAGTGAGCCATAACTACAGGACATCGAAACCACTCCACTAAAAACGAAGACCTCCACTCACAGTAATTGCATTCAACCTGACTTAATTCAAGTTCTTTTGATCGGGAAAAGTGATTCTCAAAGCACAGACCCAGGCCCGCAGCATGAGCATAATCGAGTACTTTCTGCTAATGTACATCTTCAGGTCCACCCTGGACCTGCTGAATGGAAACTGCAGGTGGGGCCTAGTTATCTGTGTTTTATGTTTTTCGGGTTTTTTTTTTTTTTAGATTTTTGCCATAGGGCATACGCACTTGCTGGAGAGAAACAAAGAGAGAGAAGAAAGTAAGAAATCACTGCTCAGAGGGATGGCCATACTGCAATTCCTTCTCTATTTTCCTCTTGGGATTTTGGGTATGCGTGCACACGTGCCCAGCGTATTTCTCAAGCCACTGTGTTTGGCACCTGAATTGTGGAGTCAGTCACATGGGATCCAGTGCCTTAAGCACCATGCCACCTGCTGGCTTCGTGTGTTATCGAGACCTGCAGGTGATAATGCTGGTGCTCAAGTCTGAGATCCACTCAGCGAGAACTAACCAACCAGATGCTTTACTTCCTGTCAAAACAGGCCAACTTCTTTGGTGCCTGTAACACAGCATCTATGTTACACAAGAAATCTTCCTGTTCAGCAGATTTTCTGACATCTTTTTATTTTTTTCAAATTTCCCAGAGGGTACATGTACTCACCAGAGACAGGAGGAGTGAGAAAGTACCCCACATCGGGGATGGTCATGCTGCAATCCCTTCTCCTCCATTTTTCCTTTTGGGATTTAGGACACACGCACACACAGACACACAGACATAGTTTTCAAGCCATCAGGTTTGGGACACAAACTGAAGTTGGCCATGCAGGAATCCAGCATGGTCTGGTGCAGATACAGATGACGTGGCGAGAGGAGAGGAGCGAGACCACCTTGCAGGGACTCCTGTGTGCTAGACCAAGGCAGAGGGTGCCCACATGGGACTGCCTGTCATCATCCCGACACCCTCACAAGGCAAACAGCACTCCTCTCCCAGACGGCAGAGGTCCTGACACCAGGGACTTGCTGAAGATGAACTGGCTGGTAAGTGGCAGAGCAGACATTTGAAACCCTGGATCTCTCTCTACTCCTGTATTTTCCCACTGCATCACTGGACCTATCTGGTCCAAAACAATGCACAGAGATCTTGTTAAAGACACGCTTCGAGGGAACCAGCAGTTAGCGTAATGGCTATGTCGCTGGACTCCCACGTAGTCGACCGCGGTTCGCGTCTCGGACCCGGTGGCTTAAATCTCACGCCGGGCGCGTGTGCGTGCGTGCCCAAGATCCCAAGAGGAGAATGGAGGAGAAGGGATTGCGGCGTGACCATCCCCCCTGGGGGGTGATTTCTCGCTTTCTGTCTCTATGTCTCTCTCTGTCTGTCTGGCGAGCGCACGCGCCCTATAGCGAAAACCTCTCCAAAAAAAAAAAAAAAAAAGACACGCTTCGAGTCAGGCACAGATGACAGATGGATTTGCTCCCCTACCGTGTCCACCATAACTTGGACTCCACTTTTAAGAGCGATGGCAGCAGTGAGGTAAGGGAGCTGAGAACTTCAGAAAAGGAAAAATGGCAGAAAAGAGCTGCAGAGATGAACCACATAATTATTTTTTAAAATTTTCTAGAGGGCACATGCACGCATTGAAGAGAAGCAAGTGAGGAAGTACTGCGCATAGGAATGGTCACCCTGAATCTCTTCTCTATTTCTCCTTTCGAGAATTTGGATACACACATCCGTGTTTTCCAAGCCAACAGGTCTGGGACTCGAACCATGCAGGCAGCCATGTGAGATCCAGCTGCCTTAATCACTATGCCACTAGCTGGCCCAAATCAAGCAGTTCTACCTTGTTTAGGACCCTACGCTAATAGCAAACTAAGCCAGTGTCCAGGTGAACAGCAGGTCTCACAGTTAATATGCTCAAGGATGAAAACGGGCAGAGAATCCAAAGCTACCCCATCTGCTAGGGGGGAAGCTTCACTGAGGGATGAAGGCCGTGGCCGGGCTCAGGCCCTTCTCTGACCCACCTGGTTGTGGCTATGACAGTCCAGGAGGTCGTTGCTGATGTAGGCTTGCAGGACCGTCTCCCTCTGCTCCCCAGGAAGGGATGTGGTCAAGCGCTAAAATGAAGAAAAACCAAAATAACAAGACTCAGCCAGGGGCTAGTTAACCACCCAAGCAACCAGCTGACCAGAACTTGGGACGTTGTACTTCCTGAGGGGTGATCGAGGGGACGAGGGAGTCACTGTGCAATCTCCAGAGAAGTGAGGAGACATGAGGCCTGCACGTGAGTGCGTGTGAGGGAGCGAGCACGTCGGGGGAGGCTCTGCTGTGGGAGAGGGCTCAAGAGCTGGTCCCTGAAAGAAGAGCAGATGATCGACAGCATGGGGACCAGCTAGGGTGGCACAGTGGCAGGGCAGTGCCAGGCAATGCTAGAGACACGTGGGAAGGGTGAACACGCCAGGCACAGGAGCACCTGTGACTCTGACTCACAGGAAGGCTGGGGGAGGGTCATGGTGTGGTGAGACCCTGATGTGGGTCTCTCTCTGTCTCATAAAAAATAAATCAAAGTAATTATAAAAAGGCAGCACAGGGGGCCAGGAAATGGTATAGCAGTTATATCGCTGGACTCCCACATGGCTGACCGCAGTTCGAGTCCCAGACCCAGTGGCTTGAAACTCACAACAGGTGCATATGGATGCGTGCCCAAGTTCCCAGGAGAATGGACTAGAGATTGCGGCATGGCCATCCCCCTGGAGGGTGAATTCTCACTTTCTCTCTCACCATCTCTGTCTCCTTCTGTCTCCAGTGACTATGCGCCCTAAGGCAAAAAAAAAAAAAAAAAAAAAAGGGCAGCACTAGGGAATGTGAGCATAGTGGGGGTGGGGAAGCACTGCCTGGCTCAGAGAAGTGCAAAACCTAGGGTGCGCGTCGGGGGCTCAGTGGGAAGGGCCCAGGCCAACCACAGAGCGCAACAGGTGCAAGCTATGCCAGTGAGCTGGCTGCAGCCCCAGAGCAGGGTGGGCCAGAACGGATTATGCAGTTAAGGAGTCAACCAGTGCTGGCCTAAGTAGTCCAAGGAACCCTGCGGGGTCCCCTAAAGCCCTTCCAGGGCCCACAAGCTCACAATTATTTCCGTAAAACAACTGGTGTGATTTGCCTTTTCATGCTCAGTGACTCAGAGGCTAATTGGTGATAATGTGACAAATCAAATGCAAGAATAGGTGTGGGACTCCAGCTGCCCTCCGTGAAGCCAGGCGCTGAGGAAATCTGTGACCATGTTAACAACGCCCTTCTTTCTCCTTAGTCTTGCTTGTTTGGAAGACATTAGGTCATCAGGAAGGTCATGACACATTTTTACATAGAAAAATACGTCATGACTTTCTCAAAGACCTAATAGTTACTGTGCGTAAACGATGTTATTTATGTTAACATGCAACTCGTTTATTATAGTTGACTTTAATTGAATTAATAAATGTATATTTTCAGTTTCCTCAGTTTTAAATTTCTAAGACCAAAATACCGGCAGATAAAATCCACATAAACAAATGCTCTCTGGGGTCCTCGGTAACTCCTGAGTGTGAAGGGCTCTGAGAACCAAGTGCTGGCTCACTTTGAAGACTGGGGAGCAAAGAGCGATTCAGATGCAGCTTCTCCTCCCACGGAGACCCCTGAGTGAGTTTCTCCCTGGAGGTCTGCTCGCGGCGGCTACCTGGTATAACAAGACCCGAACACGGAGGCTCTGTGGGACGTGGAAGGGCCTGCTCCATGCTCTGGCACATGGGTCCACAGTGCGGCTCACGGCCAGGAAAGGGGCAACGACAGGGGCAGCATCATGGGCCTGGGGTTCATCACGTCCGCACATGAAGGAGCGGGCGAGGTCAGTACTGCAGGGGCTTTTACAAAGAGGCCAAGCTGTCTTCTGCAATCACTTTTAATTTTAGTTCTTGGTGTCAGCAGGCAGCGGGAAGGAAGATTTTCAGTGGATGGGTTAAAAGATCCAAGTAAGGCAGCCGGCCCAGAAACCCAGGCCTACCTGCACGGAAAGGTACCTACCCAGCGCAGAGCCTGCAACAAGAAGGCTTTCAAGCGGTCACTCCCAAAGATCAAATCCTTCTTCAGTTTCTCGTAATCCAGGGAGGGCAGTAGTGGGACATCCTGCAGCTTCCTGCTCAGGAATGCGAGTTCAAAGAGAATGAAAAGAGCACACTCACTACTCCTGCTGAGCGTCAGGACACCCATCCAGAGCTGCTCCACCCCTCCCTGCTGTGCCCGGACAACTCCAGGCTTCCCTGGGGAGGGCTGGCTCCAACCCCACCTTCGCCAGTATCAATAGCTCCACTCTGCCTGCCGTCAGGGGGATTGAGGTTTGGTATGACATTCTTCCTAAAACGGGTCTCTGTCTGCCCAGGTTTGGAAACCACTGCCTTCACCTCGGGCCAAGGCTCCAAAGATGGGAAGAAATGATGCCCTGGGAGGCATCAAATCTTTCCACCAAAGCTATACTGATGAGTCTGAGCAAAGTCCAGAAACTTACCATCAGCAGGCCCCAAGAGTTCAACCTAAATTCCTGAAGCCACTGTCCCTCTCACTGCCCCCGCCCTACTGGACTGGGTACATGTGAAGGACAGATGAGGAATCAGGAAATAAAGTGAAGAGCATGAAGGTGAACAGCTCAACCCTCTCCATGGTGAGGAAGCAGCATAGGGTTGTACCTTGGGGAGGGTTGTAGGGCAACTGCGACGCTCCTGCTATGATTTAAATGTGTCCCCCCAGAACTCATGTGTTAAAATTTGGTCCTCAGGGACTAGCAGATGGCATAATGGTTATGTTGTTGGATTCCCACATGGCCAGCTACAGTTCAAGTCCTGGACCCAGAGGCTTAAAACTCACGCCAAGTATGTTTGCATGCCAGATCAAAATCCCGAGAGAGAGGAGAGTGGAGAAGGGATTGCAGTGTGACCATCCCTCCTGGGATGAGTGATTTCTCACTTTCTGTCTCTGCCTCTCTAAAAAGCACATGTGCCCTATAGCAAAATATCTCTCTAAAAAAATTTGGTCCTTAATATATACATTGAGATGGAGAGACCTTTAAGAGGCGAGGCCTAGTGTGTGGTGTCTGGATCACGATGGCATAAATAGGCTAATGCTGACTTGCAGGAGGGAGAGAGTTCTTGTTCTTGTGGGAAGGGGTGAGTTCCTGCAGGCTGTTACAAAGTCAGATGGCTGTACCAGGTCTCTCCACACACACACGTACGTGCCCACAGCCCTTCCTGCCTTGGTTGGCCATGTTGTGACGTAGGCCAGAGGCCAGCCAGACTCCAGTCCCATGCTCTTGGACTTTCCAGCCACCAGAATCGTGAGCCAAATAAACCTCTAGTCTTTACGAATCACCCCATCTCAGGTATTCTGTTAACAACATAATAACTGACTAAGGCATCTCCTCAGAAAGACTCCACATCAAAAACCTCAGGACAGTGAAGCCAGGTTTTATTAAGAGACCTACACAGCTTAGACCGACCCAACAGTGGCTTTGGTTAGTCAGGAATAAAAGAGACTCACTGCCACTAAAACAAGCATGTTCACATTTGGTTTTGTTGTCGTTTTGTTGAATGAAAGGAGATCAAAATGCCTGGGGGAGTTAACGAATACCAAGTGAGGCCTATGGTCTAGCTAATGGTACAAGACCACCGTTAACTTCCTGATATCACACTGCAGTTATGTGAGATGTTACCACTGGGAAAGTTGGGGACTCAACCTCTCGGCTGTCTACAATTATTTCAAAATCAAACTCAAACCAAAAATCACAACAAAAATATGATTCTCTCAGTACAAAGAAAAAAAAGAAACAATATGAAATGGCGATTCGGGAAGAGTTTGATGAAAAGACTAAAGATGTTGAATGTTGTTTACTCCTCAGGGTGGAACAGGAACGGAGATAATAGCTCTGGTCATTCTAGTTCCCTTCTAAGTTTCTATAATGTGCAAGTTTTCTTTCTTTCTTTCCTCCACCATGCCATGGGCTGGCCCAGCATGCAAATTTTCTATCATGAGCATATATTACTTACTTAATAATAAAAATTACATGCTAGCCTTTTTTTTTTTTTAAAGAATTATTTATTTTTCAATTTGGACCAGAGACAGAGAGAGACAGAGAGAGACAGTTGCCAGGTCCAGGACTCGAACCATGGTCGGCCATGTGGAAGTCCAGTGCCTTTAACCATCAAGCCACCTGCTGGCCCCCATGCCAGTCCTTTTAATGTTAGTTTGTAAAAACAAAATGAGATTCTCTCAGAGGTCTGGAAGAAAGGACCAAAATACAAGGGCAACAGACCCAACCATGGGCAGAGAGCACTGCCACGTGCTGGCCGAGGCCGCACAGGAGGCCCACACTCGATTCCACCGTGGTCCTACCTAGAAGGCTGGGGCAGGAGGAGCGCAGCACAACAAGACTGTCAAAAATACCCCCTCCTCTCCCCAATGCCTCTTGCACTCTCTCATTAAAAACCGTAAGACAACGAGGCCGCAGTACGCGCTCCTGGGGGAGTAGCGGTTTCTATTTTCAAACATGTTGGTTATTTTAGCACTTCTATCCCTGAGGCAGGGATTATTGTAAGTTTAAAAATTAACAGAGCTACTTTAAAAACTCCAATTGTAAATAACTGGCCCGAGTTCTTCGAAAGTGTGAAGGTTGCAAAAGGCAAAGACTGAGGGGAAGATTTCAGATGAAAGGGAGCTCCGAAGGCATGAGGCCTATGGCGGTGGGCGTGTGGTCCTGGACGGGGTCCTGGGGCAGAGGGGCACCGTGGAAGGAGCAGTAAAGTGTGAACAGGTCTGTAGATCGGACGCAGGACGGCATCAGTGTTAGTTTTCTAATTTTGACAACGGTACTGGGATTGGGTAAACATTATTAACGCTGGGGAGTCAGGGTGCATGGGAATTCTTTGTATTATTATTCTTCCAACTATGAAATTAATTTTAACATGAAAAATCTTTCCTAAAATTTTAAACTTAGGGCCAGCCCCATAGCTAGTGGTTAAGGGAGCTAGATCCCACAGAACTGACTGCAGTTCATACACTGGCCCTGCAGGAACCAGCAGTTAGCGTAATGGCTATGTCGCTGGATTCCCATGTAGTCGACCGCGGTTCGCGTCCTGGACCCGGTGGCTTAAACTCACGCCGGGCACGTGTGTGTGCGTGCCCAAGATCCCGAGAGGAGAATGGAGGAGAAGGGATTGTGGCGTGACCATCCCCCCTGGGAGGTGATTTCTCGCTTTCTGTCTCTCTCTGTCTGTCTGGCGAGCTCATGCACCCTATAGCGAAAACCTCTCAAAAAAAAAAAAAAAAAAGAAAAAGAAAAAAAAGAAAACACTGGCCCTGGCAGCCTGGAAAACACGCTGGAGCTTGTGTGTGCATGCCCCAAATCCCGACAGGACAGAGAAATGGAGATGGAACTGTGGCGTGAGCAAGCCCCACTCTGTGTCTGTCTTTGGTGAACACAGATGCCTTCTGCTTAAACAGGCTCTTATTCTAGATTTGTAAAGTTCCGAATGCAAAACCAAGTCTGAAGAGCTGGCTCTGTGGCCCAGTGGTAACGTGCGGCTCAAAGAGGCTGGATCCATGTGGTGACTGTGGTCGGAATCCCTGGACCAGTCCACCCGGAACAAGCCGGGCATGTGCCTGCGAGCTCAAGATCCAACAGGCTAGAGGACGGGGGAAAGGGTCTGTGGTGTGACCAAACCTCGCTCACGTACGTGCATGTGCCTGCTTGTGAGTGAAGGGAGACATTATTTTAAAACTTAAGCCTCAGGGCCAGCGGATGGCATGGCAGTTACGTTGAACTCCAGACTCAGTGACTTGAAACTCATGCTGGGCATGTGTGTCCAAGATCCCGGGAGGAGAATGGAGGAGAAAGGATTGTGGCGTGGCCATCCCCCTGGGGGTGATTTCTCACTTTATCTCTTATTGTCTCTATCTCTGTCTCTCTCTCTCTGGTAAGCACACAAGTCCTAAGGCAAAAACTTCTACAAAAAACAAACACACACTTAAGTCTGATCATGGCTTGTAGCTGGGAATTCTCTGGGCCATTGTACTTGTCAGCAATGGCAGGACTACCAACCACGCTTGGCACCAACTAAGCTGCCCAGCGCCCACATTTCTGTGGGCCAGCCACTCTCCCCCTGCCCACGAGACTGCGTCGTGCTTCCTCCTCAGGCTCTCCACAATCGGCGCCCTGTACTCTCGGTAGGTGACCTTGCCTCTCGTGTCACTGAGGGTAACATCTGCAAATGTCCGGAGAGCATCCCTCGTGTGCCTGGTGCTGCCCTGCGGGCTTTCCACACAGTAACTCACTTTATCCCCCCAACAATCGTATCACACAAATACATTTAGTCTTTGGAGTTCACAAGGGCATGAAATGAGGCACTGAGAAGTGACACAGGCAGTTCAGGTCTCAGAGCCAGTGGCCAAGGCAGGATCTGAACCCCAGCACCTGGGCCTGTGGCACTACACGACACTGTGACCAAAGGGCGGAAGAGAACAAAATGTGGGGTCAACGTCAGAGTCAGGTGAGGCTGAGGAGGAACAAAGTTATGGCCGTATCAGGGTCTGAGTACTCTCACGGCTCCCCATTAAACACACATACACACAAGTGTGCATGCACACCTGCACACCCTCACTGGCTCAGAGCTCTCCAGAACCTGCCCTAGTCTCTGTGTCCAAGTTCTGGATGCCCTTGCCACTACATACACACCAGACCAAGCACGGGCATCAGACGCCCCAGGCTGCAGCCTGACTGATCTGGACAGGAACACTCAGCCCAGGACAGAGCTGCCCTATAGCCCCGTCCCGCACAACCCGACAGAGAGCATGAAACAGCCCGAGAAGCTCTGCTGCCTGTTAGGACCGCAGGTTAAATTCACCCTACGGAACACCACGGGAACAAGTCAGGGGCTTCCTCCCTCTGACGCTACCTTACCCAAGCAAGGACAGTTTACACGACAAGATAACCCGAGTGTAATGAACATGACTTACAGTTCCTGGTATTTCCTTTAAAACCCACATGGGGCTCTAGCTCAAAGCCATCCCTCTGGGAACGCTAGGCTGTTATGACGAGTGTTTATCAAAGCTACTTTAGATTCCTGCTTTACTCAGAGCTGCTCTCCTTAATACAAACTCCTAAGAGCAATTACTTACACGGGTGCCAAGGAGGCTCGCAACATGGTCGAAGCCTGAGGGGAAAGAGAAAAAGGCCACGTTAAACACTGACAGCAATGCAGGAGCCCAGCCACACCAACGGGGCACCATTGAGGGAGTTGCCAAGTGTCTCCTCTAACGAGATTCTCCAGCCAAAGTCACGTACGGTTAGAAATGAGCCTAAACCAGAGGCAGGCCGTGAGCCAGCCGGCCACCACCCACGGTTTGCTCTACTCGGCTCCCAGCAGGACCGTAACTCAGGTGGGTTCTGCCTGATCAGGCTCAGAGGCACTTCCAACAGCTGGTTCCAGACGTCATAAAGATAAAAGCCAAGTGATTTAATAGATTTGCCTGGACTTTCTTCTCTTTAAGGGGGCCAGTAGGTGGCGTGGTGATTAAGGTGCTAGAGCCCACATGGCTGACTGAACGGTTTGAGTCTCAGACCTGGCGGCTTGGAAAACACACTGGGAGGATATGCATGTGTGCCCAAAATTCCAAGAAGAGAAATGGAAGAGAGTGGACTGCAGCATGGCCATCCCCCCAGGGGCATGATTGCTCACTTTCCCTCTCTCTGTCTCTTTCCAGCAAGTGCACACAC